CCTCTCCTGCCACAGCAGCAGTCCCAATGTACCGTCCCGAGAGAGAGAGAGAGAGAGAGAGAGAGAGGGGGAGGCAGGCCATCTCGAATGGCGGCCAGTAAGCAGGGCCCACTTGCGCTACTCACGCACTCTCGCGCGAGGACCGCGAGAGGGGAGGGTCGAGACGTGGATGGGGTAGGAGGGAGGAGGAGGGAGGGACTCCTCGCGATCGTCCCCGAGGTGGGAGGAGCTATCGGCAGCAACTACGTATGAGTACTGCGCAGCCATGGCGAGCAAGGGAGAAAAAGGGTTGAGATGAGAGAGGGAAGGGGGTGATCGTTGTCTTGCATTGATTTAATAATCCTCTCCATACAAATCTGACACATATTGCTACTCACCCCCTCACGGCTCACGCACTGCTGGCTGGTAGTTCATTCCTATTCATACTCTGCTTAGGGTCCGCTGCTCCGGGCGCCCGCGGCACACTGCATTACCAGGCCATGTTGTCAACATTTTTTCATTTCTCTTCCGCGGTGCAAACAAGAAATAAAAAGGGAAAAAGCAGAAAGAGGTACACTCGGGCTTTTTGACAGGAGCCGTGATTCACAGGCTAAAAATGTTACTCAACTTCCTCGTCTTGTCACAACTGAAAATAATAAGGAGTTGGTTCGGGAAAAACTAGACACGTCGTTGTTTTTGTAAGCTTTTGTTTATTTAACTTTGTTCATATTTGTACTCTTTTATCGCATATAATTATCATTTGTACGTGTAGTAATAAATATTTTTGGGTGGGAGAGTAATGCGAGCTGTTCACAAAATGCAGATACAACAACGTGACGCCGGAACCAGGGTCGTGATTGTGTACAGTGTTTCGAGTGACACAATTTTTTATATTTGCTTTTTCTCGCCGTAAGTTTACAAAGAGGCCAGCAGTCAACGCTGGTCTTATGGAGTGTAGGCCGAATGGTCAAATGATATGGGGCAGTTCACTGGTTAGGCAAACGTGCATTTAGCTTCTTTTGGCAAGGGCTTCATTAGAACAAGTTACCACACATCAGCTGGGAGAAATAAAAGCGGGTGTTTTTAGCCGTATTTTTTTCTGGTACGTAACACTGTAACGAATGCAGGCGTACGGACGGGTTGCATACGCGTATGGCGCGTGAATGGGTAAGGGTAGGCAACCTGGCCCGCACGCACGCCTGCGTGCGGTACAGTACAACGAGAAAAAGTACGGCGTGGAAAACCCGCCCTGTACGTGTAGCATTGCAGCCAGTGCCGCTTACACACATACGTGACCCACTTCTCAGTTAGTTGCTATAACGATTTTCTATTCAAATGTTCCAATATTCCACCAGTAAGAGATTATTCACATAACCACAAGGACACATTGGGCTTTTTCAAAAATTATCGCGCGTATCATGAAAATAGTGGTAGTTAATACGCTTACACAGGTATTACATAAACATGGAAAAGTCTTCTGGTTCCGCAAAATAATTTACGTTGAAGCACAATCCACGTTCACAGCCCCCTCTGACCGGCCCCCTCCCAAGTGGTACATAAACAGTCCCCAACAATCAATCGAGAACCCTCAACTACGAAAACGACTCATAAATGCTTTCCAAAAATAGAACAAAAGTATTAACTTATTTGAGTAAAGGAAAAAGATATGACATACGACGTTTGACTGTTGTCTCGAGTCGAATATTAGTTTGGAGCGATGATGATACGCTCAATACTAATGAGAGCATAATAATGAAATTTTGATTTCGTTTATAGCGTGTATAGCAAAAATATACTTTAAATTAATCGAATAATAATTAGTAACAAATTAGTTCCATTGCATCGCATCAGACGCTCTACGCGCTGATCCAGGACTAGCACCGTCGGAATGGAATGGAACCATAGCACTCAAGTTCAGCATCACGAATCGGCATGCGCAGCATGCGGAGAATAATATAAAACCTAAAACTAGGGGCAATGGTCATGCTTCTTTTGGAGAAAATGGATGTTAAATTTCCGATATGTTGCACATGCTTCTGTCATTAGTTCATCCACTCATTCGTTAGCGTTACATTCTAATGTCGCTCGCTTAACCCAAGAGACAGGTTTTATAAAGAAAGCAGACGTAAGTTCTTTTCGTTTAAGATTTAAGTTTTGCCATTGTTGGACATAACATGTTTGATATTAGCCGTAGGAGGCTACATCCGTCCTGGAGTGTATCGAATCGTTTCTCTACTCAATGGACTCACCAGTATAGTAGTTTGTGCATTCTTGTTTTTTTGAGGGGCATAGAAAATACATTTTGCCACCTTTGGCATGACATCTACAGTAACACAAATAAACTATGCGTGAGATGCTAATTTTACAAAATTAAAATAAATAGCTCTGCTTATTCTTAACTTGGCAACTATTTAACAACAATAATACTTTACATAATAACTGTGATCCTGAGTATAAAATTTTGCTGTACACGAATACTTGTTAGAAAACTAAATAGAAGTCTATCTGGAAGTACAAAGATTTTTAAGTGAATTATGTGGAACTTATTCGCGTGCACTATGAGAAAATAAACAATCGATGGCTCTCATTCTAAGAGCTAAAGGTCCATTATCAACCGAACTGTTATCATAACAGACGCTCAGCGCATCTTCAAAGTAAAAGCTTTTACCTATCCTACATTTTAGGCTTGTAAAAAAAGGCATTAAACGACAGCACAGTGCAATAAGTTCAGAAATCACAAACTCACAAATTTTTGGATTGGGGTAAATAGAGACAGCGATCCAGTTGTATTTGAGACACTGGGGTTTAAGTTAATACTTTACGAGACTGGGGTGATGGAAGTCTCTGCGAGGGAAGGAAGAGCGAAAAACAAATCAGTCTCGCGGAAGGTTTGTTCCTCACAACCTGCGTTCAAAGTGCTTGCCAACAAATATAATTTGGTTGCATATTCATTCAAAGAAAGTTTCCCAGCAGGGTTGCATCCCACAAGAAGTGAACGTCTTGTTGCCTTGCATTGCAGGGTATCTGTCGAAACACGCTGAACTGGGAAGACTGCAACGTTACAAAACATTCTTCCAACCCGAGCGTAACTTAGCACTGGTATTGGTTCTCACACGCGCCACGATCACATCCAAAGTTTTGGACCAGAATAGACAGAAAGCGAAAGCGGCTCTCCGCGGATAAATGTCTCCAAACTGCGAGCTCCAACCTGAGCCAAGGGCGGCCGCTCAGCTGGTGGCAAAGGAGAGCCGCCCTTAGCACCGCTCCCCATGAGAAATCAAAACTCCATTTTTGGCCGATGACGTTGACAGGACGTCGATCAAAATCGAACACCGGCAGATCGGCGTAAAAACGATGCCGGGGTCAAATCGACGTCGACGCGACGTCGATTCGATGTTTCTCATTGGGGTCGTCCCCGCCGCCTGCCCGCACTGCTCGTCGTGTGCACGAGGAGGAACTCGCTCCGCCGGTGCACGGGCAGGGGCGGCCCGCGGGGCTACTTGTAGCGCAGCACGAAGGGGAAGCACACGAGCTGGTAGCAGGACAGGGCGAGCGCGGCCGCGACCAGCGTGCCCAGCACCAGGTAGATGACGCTCAGGTGCACCAGCGCGAACACGTACAGCGTCTTGTCGCACCACTCGTTGGGCTCGTAGAGCGTGGACGCGAAGGCCGGCCACAGGATGTGCAGCGTCCAATAGTTGCCCAGGCAGAACCACACGAGCAGGAACGTGGTGAGGCTCCACGCGGCGACGCGCGCGCCCAGCGAGCCGCCCACCCCCGAGTCCATGGCGGCCGCGCCCAGGCCCGCGCCCAGCTGCGCGTAGCGCCGCGACACGGACTGGCGCCACACCACCCACGCCATGTGCGCCGTGCCCAGCACGCCGCCCACCACCATGTACATGGGCAGCCGCGCCTCCTTGGGGCACTCGCCGTAGTACTTGATGCCTGCGGGAGAGACAGAGGGACAGAGGGTGTTACAGTCTCCGTTCTGGGCAATCCTCGGCGCAACGTCCTCGGCTTACCCATGATCAGCATGATGACGGGCATCACCGCGAGGCAGACGAGGAGCACGGTAACGACGGCTGCGGACACACAGACAGAGATTAGGATTTGTCCTGCGCATGGGATTCGGGGGTTTTTGAGTCTAAACGTACATCATAGTTTTCTTGATTTTTTTCCCCCACTGCATTTTCCTAAATTTGTTCTCGTTTTTTCTTCTGATTTTCACTGATTATCTATTGCCTTTTTTTAGAGAGTTAAACACTGAGTGATTTTTGTGAGTGAAGAACCCCTCGCCTCGTCCCCACCAGCGGCGCGCTCACCCGTCTTGTACACGATCCCCAGGGCGCGGCACACGAAGTCGCACACCCCGGAGGCCTCGATGTTGGCGTCCTTGAGCTGGTACATGACGGAGCCGTACGAGGTGAGCCCCGTGGCTGACTCGGCGGCCAGCTTGGTGTGCTCGGCGCACAGCTGGCGCCTGTCGTCCCCGGACACCTGAAGAGGCAGCGCAAACAAGTAACGGAAACTACAATAAAATATATGGAATTCCATCAGAAACGTCATGAAAGTTTATAGAAAATGTCACACAATGTTGATTAATTTCCCATATCTTTTGGTTAAATTCCCAATGAAGATGATTTGTCTACCTGGGACGGGTTGCTGGACGCCCTCCTGGAGCCGCCGGCCTCGGTCCAGGACGTGCTGTAGCTGGTGCCGCGGCCGGGCATGCCGCTGCCCGGCCCGGAGTTGGCGGGGCCCCGGTAGGGTGACGGGCTGCGCTGGGAGGCGGTGCGGGACGGACCTGGGCGACAGAGCAAGCCAACATGGAGCCTGGAGAGAAGGCAACCCAACGTGCACCCCACCCTTGTCGAGTGTAACCGCCTGCCGGGTAGGCAGCCCAACGTGCATTGCAACCCTTCGTGTCGCCGCCTGGCGGGTAGGCAACCCAATGCACGCCAACCCCTCGCGCGATAGCCGCCGGCCTAGTAGGCACCCCAACGTACACCACACCCCTAACTCGATACCCCGGGGAGCGGGGGCGAGGGGGTGGGGAGGGGTGAGGGAACCAGCGACAACGCGTAACATTGCTCGAGCATTGTAAGTGCCTGCGCCCTATATATTATAGGCCACGTCTCAGCCACCCCTCGCCCTCTCACCCCAACCACTTTCTATTTTCCATACCTCGGGGACTGTAACGCTCAAGGTGTCCCCACAATGAACGTCTCACGAGGCAACGCTGGAGCGCTGTTGCTATACCATCATGATGGTGTAATGCGTCTGCTAGGCGCTTCTTCAACTTCAACTTCAAAAAGGGTTATAACGACTGCTTGTTCATAGCGAACTGGAGCCACCCATAACTTGGGTCACGCAGTCAGGCCTCAGTCGGCCCATCCCCTGCGTTCCAGCTAGTGCTGGTCCGGCCGGGAGTGCACAGCCTGTCGCGCCGCACCGTATCTGGGTAGGCGAAACAGCCGTGGAAAGACGCAGATCGCTCAATGGCGGGAGTGTCGGGCAAAAGAACGTTTGTCGACCAACTTCGTTTCCTGTCACCTTTAAGGAACGTTTATTCTGGAGGCACCTTCGACGGTTAATTCACAACTTGCTCACAAACT